CAACAAACAGGAAAAGATGAGAACATGAAGAAGTTGGAAAAAGAATAAAGAGTAGTTACAGGAGAACAAGGAAGAAAAAATATTTTTAAAATGGAAAAGATAGTGAAGAAAGGCAAGAGCAGAGACATTTACATGAGCATCATCAGACTACCTTTCATACCCAATACATAGTATCAGTGCTTATATATTTCTGTTCCAAGACCTCTGCCCCCTGCCCCTACTCCTAGCAGCACCCTATATTAGAGAGGTAAGCTTCTAGATGTCTGCCGTGTTCTGAATTTTTATTTCAACTATTTTCTTAGTAGGCCACGAGCACTTAAAACTTCTGCAAGCTACCATGTTCCCCCAGTCCTACTGAAATTAAAAAACCTGTTCATAGGAGAGCTAAAATAGTATCAAAGAAAGAGATAAGAAGTCTGTGCTCATTCTGAAAGCATTCTACTTCAAATTATATTTAAAACTGGAAGCGTAGGACAAACTTGAAGTGACAGCACATATATCATCTCACATAAGCTATACTCTTAGTATTGAATCAGAATGTTATTTGTAGTACCTTTCATGACTGCCTGCCTACACTTGAAAAACCTGCCTTGTTCCTGTGACATAGTATCGTGGTTCAGAACTGATCTGGGACTTGTGTCTTTTTTGTCAAGTTACACCTTGATAGTTTAAAGTTGTACATGCTAAGAAGTCTGTGGTTATGCTTCTTTATGCAGGATACAGTCAAGAAGACGGTGGCTGGTCTTCATTTGTGAGTATCAGGATTAACAAAACCTACTGGTTGGATGGATTAACTCTTCTGCAAGGTCTATCATTTCTTGCATTATCTACTTTGGGCAGCACGGATGGAGTGAGGGATGGCAGGGGGTGTTAGGATGAGGAGAAAGAGAAGCAGGAGCATGAATGATTGGAGTAGCTGCATACAAATTTCTTCACTGAGAAAAGGGTCTTCCCCAGTGATGCAAGGCAGAGCTTCAGAATGGCAGCCCTATACCACTGGCTCAAGTAGAAGCTTACAGCCTACGACCAGGTCTCCACAGAACCTTAGCTGAATTTTATATACCTATTTCAAGCTCTGAGAAGAGGTGGCTAGTAAAGGAAAGGTTGCTGTGTTATTCAATGGCAAATTCTTGCCATTTTATTCTCTAGATTTGATTTGTTGAAGAATCTAATTTTTTGAAGCCAACTAGACTGCAAAAGTTTCTTTTGCCTTTCGGCACAGAAAATGCATTGGTAAATGTCATTAGATGAAGCATACACAACTCAGCTAGCTAAATGAATAAGCTGACTGATGCACAGTCCGGGTTTATGAAGAACTCTTACATTGACCAGTGCCAATGTTTTTTTTGCAAAAAACAGAGAAAAAAACCACAAGTTTGCAGGAGATTTGCTGCTACTTTAGGAGCACAAAAGGTAAAAGTAATCACCTGTAGAGCACCTGGGCTCTATGTCAATACAGAGCTAGTCTGGAAATTTCAGCCAAGATGCCAATGACAAATTGATTATTCTTTTTCTTGTAAGCCTTGGCAGATTGCACAGAAGATGTGTGCAATGACCGCTACCATATTTTCACTGTGATCTTACTAGGTCCTGCAAGTTGTATGAAGCTGTTTTGGTTCTGGTCAGCGGAGGGCACCAAGACCCGTATTAAAGACCTCATTTTTTCTGAAGCATTTTTTAAAAGTTGAGTTGCAGGCTGTAGAGTATGTGCTATTAAGTAAGAATGAATATCAACAGGCATCACCTGCTGCTCCAGTGTGTTTCTAGGAAGCACTGAATTGTTTGCTGGTGCCTTGTCTGTTACCTAAAAAAAGGAACTGTGCATGTCAATAAGCTATCACCTTATCTTGATAACTTCCTCTGCAGTTACTGTTATAAAATGATACTCGTTTTCTTTCTTAAGCTGTTGAGTGCTGTATGCGTTAATAAAATGCTGCCTCCTTTCCCCATTTTATTTCAACAGAGAATTTTTTCACTCAAACTGGTTATAAAAACTTGATATCCTCCAGAGTGAAAAATACCACAGTGAAAGGCCACAAGGAAATTGCACTGCAGTGTTCAGTATCCTGTGACAGCATCCATCTTTTATGTACATTTGCCAGGATGAAGATGATGACTATGAAAGCCCTGATGATGACCAGGAAAAGGAAGATGAGGCTGACTATGAATCACCAACAGAAGAACCTGAGGAAGCAGAACATGACAGTGATGGCTATGAGCCACCTCCATCCAATAACGATGAAGCACACCACAATGTCATATTTCCTGCCAAGTCACTTGCAAACAACACAGATTATATAGGTAATTACTAAAAATCAAGTGTTATTAATAATTTGTAAATGATATTTTCACACGTTATCAGCCCCATTTTAGGTGGCTGGTAATGGAATATAGAAGGTTTTTCCTTGAAGTGAACAGTGTAGTTCACAAACAAAGTTCTGTGGCACAGACTTACTGCATTTTGGTGGCTTTGTGACTTTTAAAGCTAAGTTTTCTATTTCAGACAAGCTCTGTTGGATTAAAGATTAGTTTCATGTGATGTGTGCATTATTTGGCCTTTGGTTTGAATCTGCATGAAATATATATACATACTGTATGAGGTTTAGTAGTGCAACCTTGAACAGAACAAGTTGTCAAAACAGTGGCAAAAAACTCTAGTAAAAATTGGGAAAAGAAAGAGCAGCTGTCCATTATATACTAAAACAAATCTTTATGATATATTAAGTATGCAGGTTATTGCAAGGGCTCTTTTTCATAAACATCTAATGAGAATAAAATAACCAAACTGTTTGTGTAGTTGTTTAGTTTTGGATTTTTGTTTTCTTTAGACAGACCTCCAACAACGAGATCATCACATCAGCCTCCAGTACCACCCCAGCGACCTGGCCCATCCCCAGTACCAGCCTCATTTGGGGGAAGAGGTGCTTCTGTATGTTTCTTTCTTAATATTTCACCTATTTCATTTGCTAATACCTTCTTAGAAGTCCAAGTGTAATGCCATTTTTATTCGGATAGTATATGTAGAGGAAGAATTTCAGCCATCAAAATAGATTTGAACTTTGTTACAGGGTGGTCATTTTTTCATGGAACAATTAAATTTCATGGGACAAATAAATTATTTCACATTACGTGGCTGTTTCTTACCCTGGAAATTTGTACCCACCTGTGAATACCTCTCCCATATAAATTATAGACTTGTAATAGATCCCCCTTTGTTTCTTTAGTGATATTTGTAAAAAGAAAAAAAGGCTAAGTCTTTCCAAGCTATACTGCTAGCAGTTGTCCAATTGAATTAAGGCCACTTAAAAGTATAAGGGACTGTATAATGAGAACCCTGATGACCCAGATTTTCTCCTTTTTTTTGTCCTGTGAATACTTCAAAACTGAAAGCTATTGTGCTGTTTACAACTGGCATTACAGGTTCACTGTATGCCAGAACAGATGCACATTAGACCTACCCACGTACACAAATAAAGGTAATTTTAGGATGTGATAGAGGGACTTTTGGCCTGATCCAGTGTCATAGTTCACATATATAAAACACATAGGACTCTTAGGTGTCATGAGTTCTCAAGACTGCTGTCCTAAATTGCTGCTCTGTTTTTTTGGGAATAAGAACAAACATTGGAAGGCATTTGTCTGGAGAAATCTAGGTTTAGATGCAAACATCTTTTGCAGCTGCTGACAACACAATATTGTTTGACCCCAGCTCTCCCAGTAACAAAGAACAGTCCTCTCTTCCCCTCCTTCAGTCAGCAACAGTCAGTAACACAGACTTAATACATATTTCTCAACTTCAAACTTACATCCACTAATTTCAATACCAGTTTTCAGAACTAACACCTGCAGCTTTGAAGGGGCAAAGATACAGCAGCATTGTTGAAGGTCCTGTTTCTTTCCTTTGACAATACCCAAGCCCTCCCCAAAGATAACACCCCACTAGAGTATTCCTTGTGAGACAAAACAGATGGAGGCAATTCTGCATCTAACAAAAAACCATGTATGTAGGTCATTCTTCAGGAGTGTTAATGGCTCCTATCCTTCCTGGGTTGAGCAGACACCTATTCCTTGTGCTGTACCAGAGACAAAGATTGGCAGATGTGGTGTGGTGGGGTTAATATACTAAAATTAAACCAGAAAGGTGAAGACACACTTTAACCACATATAAAATCTTTGTTTTAGCTGCCAGCTTTTCCTCCTCCACCAAGCAACAATGACTTGAGTAGAGACAGAAATATCAAGCCTTTGAAACGTAAGTACAGCTGGTTTTCTCTTTGTAAAGCTTTTCTCACAGGCTATATAGCACTTCACTTTTGCCTGTATCTCCTCAGTTCCACTCTCTTCTACTATTTACATGGAAGCCTCACTTGTTATTCTAATAAGGAACACCAGTTCATGGCTATGCAAAATAAAGATATATTGACCTATACAAGCAAATTATCTTACCCAGCTTTTGTGTTTAGCCCCAGCTCCTTCTATAGACAGAAGCACAAAACCCCCACTGGATCGCCTTGCTCCACCATTTGAAAGAGAAAGCCCGGTATCAGGTCAGTATTTGCTTATGCTAATATCAATGGGTTTTTTTTAATTATTCAAAATTATCAGTTTGAATATCATTCATGCAAAAGAACAAGGCTCAACCAAGCATACTGTAATCCAATCACATACAAGGTGATCTGTTTATGAATAAATAATGTGAGCAGTACTTATAAAGTGAGAGGAATTGGATCTAGAAAGTAGCAACCCTAGGTCAGGACTAGTTGAACAGACAGACATTATGAGATCCCTGTGCAATAAAGGTTTGATGTAATACTTAAGTGAATGGACAAGGAAATACTTAGTATATTAAAAGAGGAAATAACTTTTGCATACAAAGCTAACAAAACTCTGGATACACTACTATATGTAATCTGGCACCCAGACTTAAAAGAATGCTGAGAACTGAAAATGCATAGAAAAAAAATAGCATTTGTTTCAGACCTGAAAACCATATTTTACAAAGAATCTAAAGAGACTACTCTATGATTTTTATTTATTACCTAAACACTTTCATCTGTTATATAATGGCATAAAAGTATCCAGTAATTCAAAGTTGAACCATAGAAAATAGGATCGTAAAACATGCCACTTTTTTGAAAATTTTTGCATTTTCCTTTAATAAGAGATATTGCAATTTTGCCATCTCTTGCAGAGCCAAAATATTTTTCTGGCTTACATCTCAGGAGGCTGAGTGTTTCAGTCTGCAAAATTCACTTTCAACGATATGCAAAACTTGTTTGTTTCATAGAAAGTTTAATTAATTATCTTAAATTTCTTTTTTTCTAAATGTAAGCTTTTTTTATTTTCAGGGAGGAAGCCAGGCTTTCCTGAAAAGGTAAGGTCTTTTTTGTTTGGTGCTTATTGATGTTTTTCACCTATTTTGATATACTTACACATTCTCTTAACTGTTCCTTGTTGTTTTACAGCCTCTGACTTCGCAGCTAAGGTAAGAGTTTCACCTCTGGAAATGAGACTCTCGGTGCCAGTTTTACCCAGTTTTTTCTTAGTAAGCAGCTTTCTGCCTTTATTTCATCATCTTGCTCCTTCTTTAGATCCCTGGGGGAACAGCTAGCAATGATGCCAAAACCTCCTGTCCCACCAAGTGACAGATATGAAAGAGGCAATCCATCCCCTCTAAGGAAGCAAACCCCTGTAAAGTAAGTGTTCATTTAATTGAAATTTAATAAAGGATAAATTAAATTTAACAAAAATATGGATAAGCAACAAAGGATAGTATAATTTACTGCTACCGCATGACAGCAGTGTCTGCGGATATCAAAGTTTTGCTTTATGAATATGCATGGGATGTGCTGTAAGCTGCAGAAAAGTGTGAATGCAGAAAAGGCTGTCTCTCCAGTCATATCTGAAACAGCCATTATGTAGGGCATGACTCACTTCCAAGTTGCACAAAGACATATATGATCCATGTTTTTTCCACCAGATTAAGTTCTTGCTCTAGGGAACATTCTTTCATGAGTTCTATTGCTATATTTTTTAGGATGTTAGAAAAAGAAAGCTTTACTTTCCTACCATTGATTTTACTAGCCTGCAAAACTCCCTCCTAATAACAAACAGCATTCTCTAGCAGAACTAGATCATTCTCTAGCATATTCTAGATAACTTGTGGGCTGAACATTGTGACTGATCTTAAAACAAAATAAGAAAGAAATTGAGATCTGCTAATCAGCCAGGATAATTTATCAGAGAAACAAAGACTGGAAGGCTTATCATGTGCTACAGCAATGTTGCTAAGTACTATAAACGAGTTCAAGACTTGAAGTCTAATGTTTCATCATTGTAAAAACTTGTTTTAAGCTCTAATCTTATAATAAATTCATCAGACATTTTCCTTGTTGATAGAATCAAGATGGGCTAAAGACTAGCATAATATCTTAGATTATGGCCGAAAATTAGAATCTTAGATATTTTTCTGAGGGAAAAAAAATGTTTCTGCATTCATTGGGCCTGTAAAACTTACTATAAACTCATGTCTTAGTTGAAAATATGGCCTAATGCACACAAAGTGAATGAGTAATATTCCACCTATGATTCATGTTTTGTTTCCTCTGTTTCATTTCAGGCAGGGTTGGCCACCACACAAAAAAAATGAAGTAAGTATAGTCTCAAAGCAAATATTTAAAGATATAGGGACTGCAATAAAATTAAGTACCTGTATAAACTAATAATTCTGGAAACTTCATAGCACATGGTTTCTTTTTAACCAGTTCTTCTATGTCAAGCGCAGTTTATTCCCTGAGTACTTTATCTTAGATAACAGATTTTTTTTATGACACGGGAGAACTGATTTTGCTTACACTAGGTTTTGGGTTTTTTTTTCAGCTTAAGCTGACCTAAGGATTTCACTTTCAGATAACTCTGAGAGCCTACACTTACTGAAGGGATGAGGAAAGTTTACATCTGCTGAGAGTTTCTGACTACTTTGGGTCAAGATCCATATGAGACATCTATCTCATGGCTTATTTGTAAATAATAGCTGCACCTTAATGCAAGAACTTTAAAAATTATTTGGTGTTGCATGAAGATAGAAACCCCAGCATTTTAGATGAAAGTGACAGTATAGATATTAGAGTCCTTGTGTACTCAAAATTCACCAACTTCCAGGGTTTTGTTTTGTAAAATATTCCTAAGAACTGTGCTATAATATGTTGCTAATTTTTATTTTCTTTTGGCTCCCCAGGAAGAAGAAGACAGTAAGTATTAAAGTCTGTCTTTGTCTTCGTTCTAAAAAAAAGAAATGATTGCAGAGTTGTTCCTTTAGAGCCATGTCAAAAAGTCAGGTGGTATCTTGACAGGTTGTAGATGCTTATAAAGTACCTCATGCAGATTTATATATCAAAGCCACAAAACACAGGAAATCAATAGCTAATATGTTCCTTCAGTCAGCTGGTTACAAGACAGCAGGATTTCTTATCTTGAAACACATTACATTTTAGAGATTTGTGATCTGCACGCAGCATCAAACAGCTGGGCATGTAAACCTGGTATTCTCCCAGTTTTCAACAAAACATTCAGCCAAACCCTGTTGGTACTAGTCTTCTGTGTAATGTTATTTACTCTAACAAACAGAAGCAGAATTTGTTTCATATAATAAGAGTATTTATAAATTACTTCAGAATCCTGGTTCTTAAAATTAGGTTGGTAAAGTGGTGCCATAACAGAAGCAGAACATTTGGCCAAGTCTCTACAAATTATCACTGCCTCTAAGACTCCATAAAGAATAGGGCTGTTTAAGCTGTGCAGGGCACAGCTAATCTGTTCCCCTTTTACCAGTAGTTGAGGTCTGAGGACACTGCAGAAAGAAGATGTTTTATTTTATGCTGTTGTTTATGATGATATGGGAGAAATCTCACAAAGGAATGAAGTTCAAAACAGTAACCTCAATTCCACTATTTAGAAGCAACGTAACAGAGAACAGATGGTTATGTACCACCTTCAGCTTTACTGCAGTTAAGGTATCTATCTCAATTGTGGCTTATCCAAAACAGAAGTTAGAAAACGTAAATGTTGCTCAAGCCTGTTCCAGTTAATTTTTAATTTTAATACTTAATTTTAAGTTCTCCGTTGACCATATGAGTTTACAATCTGTAACTAACATATCAAGGACTTTTTATAAAACAGTTTACTCCATTATGTTTATCTAATTAAACAGCAGTAATGTGACAGCATTTCTTCACTCTACCTCATTTAAGAATGTCTCACATAAGTTTCCTTCTCTTCCTCTTCACAGCTGCACCCCAAAGACCAGTGCCACAGCTATCTTTGCCCCCATACAGCTCCAATACATTCCCATCCAAATCCGTCAAGCCTCCACCTAAGCCAGGATCCAACAGTATGCCTGGTCCAGAAAGGTTTGTTTCACACATTATTGTGTCATTCCTTTTGAATCTCAATCTCTGCAATTTAGCAAATAATAGTATGTATGTGGCTACAGTGTTCTCAGGCGAACACAAGATAACTACTTGAAGCAGTCCATTATTTTTCAGGCTATACGCTTGCCTCCACTACGTGCTAATTTGTGTCGTTCCCACTATAGAGGAGAATCCTTCATATAATTGAAGCTCTATATTCAGTGAAGCAGATAGTGTACATCAGGTAACCAAGAAAAAAATGCAAATCTCTCAGTTTTATGTCAAGGAAGTATTTTAGGGCCTACATGGTACAATGCTTCCATTCTTGAGACATCTCTCCCATTGCCTGCACGATCCATAGGAATGACAAGCCCTTTTGGGAAGGGATCATCTTCTCCTACAAAACTGTGCAGGATGTAGGTCAAAGAGGGGTTAAAAGGATTCTGCACACTCTAGGAGCCTAAGTGCTAGAGCTACGATGACTAATTGCTTCAAAACTAAAAAAACCCACAACCTTTGTTGTCTAGATTGAATCTGAAAGAATTTCACCACCCTTTTATTAAATTTCATTCTAATGCTTAATAATTCCTATTTAAAATTGTGAACCTTGCTTCAACTATGATTTTTTATAGCTTCAACTTCCAAATATTAGATTGTTATGTCTTCATTTGCTAGATAGAAGAGCCTTTAATTAAATTTTGATTTCTGATGTAGTGTGCAACAGACTTAGCCTTTGATGAGTTAGAGTGGGCTCCTTGAGTCTAAGTCGGAAGTACATTTTCTAATCTCTGGGGTTTTTTAATGGCTCTTTGATGAATTCCTCCCATTTACCATCATCCTCTGGAACTGCTGACACCCCAGTAGAACAAATATTGCAGTAGCAATAGCAAGGTCATATGCAAATATGAACTATTGCTATGATGAACACTTCTGCTTATATTCCAACAGCATTGCCAAATTTTGCTATAGCAGAGACCCCCATTTGGCTGATTCTCTCCCATGAATCACAAGCCATGATAGGTTGTTTTTGTTCCACAAACATAGTTAACAAACATATTCATCCCAGAGCTCTTTGTACAGTTCATTTAAGCAGAAGAGAAATATGAACTGCAAAGGAAAAACGTGCAGGCAGTTTGTTCCCAATTAGGTGAAGTAATTAAAAAAAAAGAAAAAAAGAAAAATTGAAGATTGGGATTCTTCATTTTGAGAAGTTTTGGATGTGGGTTCTGGGATCAGGCCATAAAAGGATATTGTAGATTTTCTGACAAAAAGCATAAAAATGAACACAGGAGGGAAAGCATAGGCACATGGAAGTGTTATGGTGCTGTGGGTATGAGCTCTGTGCCACTGTCAGCTCATAGCTCACAGAATCACAGAATGGCTGAGGTTGGCAGGGACCTCTGGACATCATCTGGTCCAACCCCCCTGCTCAAGCAGGGTCACCTAGAGCAGGCTGCCCAGCACCATGTCTAGACGGCTTTTGAATATCTCCAAGAACAGAGACTCCACAACCTTTCTTGGCAACCTGCTCCAGTGCTCAGTGGCCCTCACCATAAAAAAGTGTTTCCTACTGTTCAGAGGGAGCCTCCTGTGTTTCAGTTTGTGCTCGCTGCCTCTGGTCCTGTCACTGGGCACCACTGAAAAAAGCCTGGCTCTCCCTTCAGGTATTTATATGCATTAATAAGATCCCTCCTGAGCCTTCTCTTTTCCAGGCTAAACAGTCCCAGTTCCCTCAGCCTTTCCTCATATGTGAGATGCTCCAATCCCTTCTCATGTTAGTGGCCCTTCACCGGACTCTTTCCAGTAGCTCCACATCCATAGTTGCAACATTAATGATGAGAAACTGCATTTTCATCAACAATGTTTTAGAAGCCACAAGAAAAATTACTCTATAAGTGGAACCTGCAGAAAGAAACATCTAGCAAGCTGTTGCCTGTGCAGCCTGCTTTAAGGCAATAAAGTAGTCATTGCCTGTGAAAACTCAACAAGCTGAAGTAGTTTTCTGCATTGATCCTGGTACAGAAGTCTTGGTGGCCCATTACTGATTCCCTCTGCCTTATTCCCATATACTCGGCTTCAAGTAAACTTAATGGTGGATCTACTGACATAAAAAGGAGGACAGAAAAACAAAAAGAAGAAAGAGAAGGCTCTCCTCATCCTGCATAGGTCTCAAGAGGATCTCACATTCTGTAAAACAGGCACAAAGTCCAGATCAGTTCTTCAGAGCACAGAAATGTTGTATAGCAAAGTGTATTTATACTGACTACTTTTTTTTTTTTTTAAACAGTGCTAGAAACCTGTCTTCAAGTGGCTCACTACCACCACGCTTACATCTAGGTTTGTACTGCATTTTTTGGTCAAAAAATGACTGAAGGTTGAAAGGTGGTTTCAGTGCAGTTAATAGAATCTTTTTTTTCTATGGATGTTTCTGGTTGGACTGTGAACAGAAAACTATCAAGTTCCTGAAAGGCATCTTGTGTAACAGTCTGAATCCAAGATGATTTTTTCCCATGAAGTTTGGGCTTACTGCCTAGATAAACCATTGTCAAAACTTCATATAAGCATCTTTTTCAATGTAGCTAACACTACTGAGAGCTGAGCAACACTACCTGCAAGTCACTATGGTATACTAATACTCTCAAAAAAGGGAGAAAACACTTTCCATGTGAAATATGCTGCATGTTTATCTGGTAATAACAAGTAAAAAATAAAAGAAGATTAGAAATCGATTGCTTTGCAAATAATTTTTCGCATATGGTAACGGCTGCCAATGTCTTACAGTGACATTTTTTAGTTTTTGTGTGCTAAAAAGGCAAGGAGTGCAAAGAGACAACGTTACTTCTAACTGTTTCTAAAGAAACCAGAGATGCTCTCAACTGAGTAATTGTGGTACAGAAACTAAAAAAATGTAACCTCTATTTCAAGTTCATCTGATTCAGGGAAACCTGAACTGCAAAAGTTCAGTTAAAGTCCCTGTGCACCAAGGATGAATTTATGTAAAGAACCTGGTTCTCATACAGTAGCCTAAATCTGATTTAAAATCAATTCAAAATGTCTCAGTATCAGAGTGATATAAATCCTTCATGCCTCATAAAATCAAGATTGTACACCCTGTATGCACTCCACAGATGAAATTATTTTCTAGTTTTAACATTTTTTCTACTTATATATCTTTGAAGGCAACAACAGCAGATCTCCTTCAAGAGGCACAGCTGACATAAGACCTCCATTGCCAATTCCTAGCAGACAGAGTGTTCACCAAACAAATGTGGAGGAAGATGAGGTACAAAACATTACAAGGATTAACCATAACTGCTAAACACAGCAAATTTTCTGATTTCGAGAGGGAACATTTTTCAAAGTTGTTTTTCTAGTTAGTAGTCACTGTAAGGATGTTAGCAGGTGCTTTCAGTTTCCCTTTCTGTGTCAAACTTTAGTGGCTTATTTTGTCTTCACCAAGAAAAACAACAATAACAAAACCCCAGTAGAACAAAATAAGAAAAATACTTGTTTGCTGGATTACTTGTTTTGCACAATTGCCTTCAACTAGCATTACATATTCAGTTCTCCTTCCTTCCACAAAACCTTGGTGAGTAAAGAATTCAAGCCCTTTAAGTGCATTTTTGTTTCACATTTCTTTAAATATGACAAGTTTAGAGCAAACCACTCCTGGTGATAACACTGCTGGGCAACCATAGATGGTATGTTCACAGGAAGTCTGCATTATAGTCTCAGATGATAGTTTAAAAAGAAAAAATAAATTAAAATAATTTAAAAAACCCCCAGAGAAACGAAGGCAAAGGATGCTAGTGTCCCAGGCAGGCAAAAGAGAAAATGTCACTTAAAATCTATCTTCTACTGAAAATATTTGGAAATATCTGTTTTCCTGGCTTACTTGCAGACATATTATAGCTAGGTTTGTAATATTTTCAAATTTATCAAAGTGAGCAAATAATTTTAAAATCATTTAGTGCCACTTACCATACAGTAATATATACTAGTATGATCCCCGAAGCTCATACCTTCAGAGATTCTGCACATAAACCCAAATACCCCTCACATTTCTCTCTACTTATTTGTATGTTGTTAACATCACAAGCTCATTCATTGACAGCTGACTTTCTCCTTTACCCTCTCTCACGAAAAACACAGGACTCACTAAATGATGAATGGTACGTTGCTTATGTTAGCCGGCCAGAAGCAGAAGCAGCTCTTCGAAAAATAAACAAGGTACTCTTTAAATCGTTGGTGATTCTCACCATCTCCTAGCTAGATGTCCTTGCAGTCGTATGGGAAGAGTGAAGGTAAATAACATGGTAAGGTTATAGCCCCAATATAGATACTTAGAGTGAAGGATTTGCCTTGAATATCTTTACCCACATAAAAGTTACACATCTAGTCTAAACCAGCCATGAAGGCTGTTGTTTTCCATAGTCCAAGAGAACAAATTATGTGTCTCCAGAAAGCAGTTTCACCTTGCCTCTCTTAGAAGGAGTGACTTGTTGTCTGGAAATAGTGCTCTGTCACCAGTGAGGAACTTGTTGCAAATTCCAAGTTTTAGATAGCTTGAGTTAGATGAGATGAATCCCACCCTTTTCTAGGCCATATTTACCAGCAAAATGAAGTATAGATTCAAACAGATGAAACCCAGGCTTAACTGTGCATGTGGAGATAAACCAAATTGTATGCGATCACTGTGGGAAATCTGCTTACTCTGTGATGCTTCACAGCACATGCAATGAGCTGAAGATGACATGTACAGCATTTCAATGACTTGTACAAAGGTCCAGCTTATGAGACCACATTCAATGCCTTTAAGAAAGGGTGTTTCAATGGAAGACTTGTTAAAACAGATCTGAAATGAAGAAAAGCAGAGAGAGTGCGAGACAATATCACTGCCTTTACCAAAACTACACAGACACTATCATTATTTTAGGCTGTCTGTAAATAGATCCCACAGGAACCTTGATTGGCACTTACCAGAAATAAACTTCTCTTCTGGTTAAAGTGATGTGAGGTTTGGCCTTTGATATTTTACTTCCTCCTTTGATGGAATCTCTCCCTCATAGAACACCATTCCTCCCTTCCCTAAAAATCTGCATTTGTATCAGACAGGAAAGTTTTAAGTAGCAAATTGAAAGATAAAACATTTGAGAAGTGACCTAAACTCTTTAATAGTGCCATTTCTCTTACCAGGAGGAAAGAGATTTGAGAAAGAAAAAAACACATAAAAGCATGAGTGCTCTAGTTAAGGTTGTTAAGCTGATCAAACTTAGAAGTGATGTTTAGTTGTCATCTTTCATTTTTTCATCTTTCAGGATGGAACATTCTTGGTAAGAGACAGCTCAAGAAAAACTGCTACTCATCCATATGTACTGATGGTGTTGTACAGAGATAAAGTATACAACATCCAGATTCGTTATCAGGAGCAAAATCACATGTATTTGCTAGGAACCGGTTTAAAAGGAAAAGAGGTACTATGTGTTTTTCACACTCCTTCCCTTCATCTTAATGTATCTCCTGTCTCATTCCTGTACCAGGCTACTTAACCTGGCAGCTGTTTTACTCCAGTGGAATTCTGCTTATTGTCTTAGAGTTATTCCTGATAGAATATGTTACTGCTGGAAGTAAAATTAGATTCTCCTGTTTGCACTCAGGGAATGAAGGGATAGCCTTAGAATGCAGCTATTAGAAATCCATATACCTGGTTAGGGAATGTTTGTTTAGCACTAAGAGACCAGATAAGGGAAATATACAGATGAGAGCAAATCCGTATCTGCCAACTTTACTGCTTTGCTCCCAGACTGTTGGTTTACTTACGTAAGTAAGTAAACTTATGGCAGGCCAGTCAGCACATGTACTGCAGTTCTGATTGAGTCAGAACTCTCTGAATTTATATCAGTCAACTTTCTGAACTTTCAAGTGTGATCATCATGTTAAGCAGAATGACAACATCATGTATTAAACAGGCCAAGACTGCATAAATTAATTATACAACACTGCAGTAGGTCATATGCACACTAGATTAACAGTCATTGAGCTACAGATCATGGCAGGAATGAAAACAGCTGATCTGAGAGTATTTATTGGACCTTATAAGACTGCTAAATATTTAGAGTTTAAAAAAACCCTTTTGGTTTTACTAATTACTAATAATTCTGACATTTTTGCCATAGCCTTCTCATTTTTTCCATCCCACAGGATTTTTCTTCTGTAGCAGATATCATTGATTACTTCCAAAGAACACCTCTTCTTCTGATTGATGGAAAAGACAGAGGTTCAAGAAACCAGTGCATGTTAAAATATGCTGCAGGACATATTTAAATGAGACCTTAATGAAGATCACATATACCATCGAAGCCTGCTGAAGTTTGTAAACTTCAGGATATTTCCTTTTTCAGCAAACTAAAATCATGAAGTCATTAAAAATCCTTTTAACTTCAAGGAAAAAAGACAATGTTATTTTTAAATTATACCTTAAATGCAGTACTCTATAAATCTGATTTTCCTACAATGTGTTTATTACTGTCTACTAATCATGCAGTACATGAGAATGTTTTTTCTTCCAACACATGTGTATCTTCTTGAAATGATTTCCACACAAAATTAGAGGACCCATGAAATAAATACCAATACAGGTCTCTGCTTTCATAGGGGGAAAAAAAAAAGTAATCTATTTTTCAGATCAGAACTGCAGCAGCAATTACGTTATTTAAAGTGATACAGAGTAGACCCAAACCTTGTCAAAGTTGAGGAGTAGACAAAAGACGATAAAAGCCCAATTTTTTTCCCACAATACACTTCCCAATAAATCTAACTATGGCCACTTCTATGAAAAGACTGGGACTCTGACCTGGATCCTAAAGACACCTAGGTTTCAGCGACACCAAAAAAAAACCCCAACCCTGGATATGCAGCTGCCTGTCAAGACCTGTGTCTGTGTTATTCAGCTATGAAACTGTCTTTGTTCACAGTTTTATAGAAAAATAAAATACCTACAGATATCATGTTCTCTCTGCCATACCACTGATGATTCACTGGTGGCATGTCTTAGCCCACAAATTGGAATTATGTGTCCTAGGATCCTCTAACCTCATTCAGAAACAAGCTTTTCTCCCTTAACACAGACCTCTCTCTAGCTGCATCTTTCTGACTCTAAATTAAGCAACTACTTTTTTATAGGAGACACATCAACAAGATTATCATCATGTGATTCTTAACTGGCAGAACACACCTAAATCTCTTAGAAAGCAGACAGATATAATCAGGCTCAACTTAGTTCCTCTTACACAACTGCTTTCTGTTTTTACTGTATTTTTTCAAGAAAACCAGTAACATTCTCGGTTCTAAAATATAAGTTGCAACTGAGGACCACTGAAGCATACTGTATCAAGAGTTTTTCCCTCTCCTTTGTTAAGTGGGATTTATCCAACTCTTTGCCTCGGTTTTCTATCACTTTTGTTTTCTGACAAGACCTTGGTTTGATAATTATGTTAGACTTTGTCACGCTTTTTCTCCTGTAAAGCCATTTGTGTGTATATCACTTGAAATATTTGAACCAAAATTCAAGGCAGAAAAATATCTTCCATGTAATCTGTATAGCTTCTCAGAGAAGATAATCAGATTTCATAAACATTTTTACTTTAAATATACACGTTTTGTAAATGTTATCTTCCTTTCTAATATATTTAGCTAGAAGCTGGAATTCAAAGTTAGTGAATTTCATTTCCAGGCAACTATGAGTCAAAAAAAAGGATTAAAAATAAAAATTTAAAAATTCTTTAGCTGTCAAAACCTGTTTCTAGCCCAATATTTTTTAAAAGCTCAGTACTAATCTTGTGAAAGAAAAGTCAGTTTCTTCCGTATTACCACTGATTATGTGAGCTGGAGGTTGTAATTCTATTTCATTGCACTGCCTTGAAAAGTCTGACAACCCAGAAATACCTCCTATGGAATTGTGTTTTATTTGTCTTAAATCATCTCATTAGTGAAAGAGAAATAAAATGTAAACCAACATAACAAATTATAACACTGCATATTTTTTTCAGCAGAGTAAATCTTGATTTGATTATTCGGATTTTATATATCAATAAAAACACTCCTCAACATTCAAACATGTCCACAAGTAAAGTATGATTGAATATTAATTGTAATGAACTACATGAAAACACTGGCTACTCAAATTTTGGGCCAAGAAGATTGCAGGACAGAGTATTTAGACCACTAACTCTTTCTTTCTTTTGTAGCTAGGTGCATTAGAAAGTCAGTACAGAAACTAGAATGAAAGTACTTTCGGTTTTCCAGAAGTAATCTGCTCTTTGGCCTGCTTCCTCAGCAACGTTTTTAGAATGAGGAAGGCAGATCAAATGACATGCTGCAGTTCCTCCTTTACTGACTGTTTCTTATCCCATTTTCCAGAGCACAACTGAGATAAGAGAGCAATGACTTGACATGAAGTAAATTAAAACCTTTTGTTACTGTTCCAATGTCTTTTTTTAAAGGGAGACAACCACATGTGAAAAACTTCATGCCCAGTTTCCTGACCTTTCTAGTTAATGATTTCAGTCTTTCTAGCCCTAGTGGTCTTAATTTACAAAATTTGGGTTAAAAAAACCCTCTCAAAATCAATAACCTACTTACAGCATTTTTCCACTCCACATTTTCAGTTTAAAATAAAAATAGGCTAACTGCAGGAAACCGTACTATCACTTTACAGTTCAAACTGAAACAGCAGTAATAGAAGACAATGCATGAAAATGGATGTTATTACTTAATCTGTCAAACTCCAAGATTTTTCTTCAGCTTCTCTTAAATCTTTGGCCTTCATAGGATGGTTGAAATTCAAAATAAGGTCACAAAGCAGTAGCTGGCTTTCCACTGAAAGGCAAAGGGCAATGTATCATCATGGTATTTATTGCATGGCAGATGCTAAGTGAATGGCAGTTTACATACAGCACTTTCTGAAGTGTTCATCTATCAACTCTTTCAAAAATGTGAAGGGCCGCCTTGTTTTGTTTACCTCAAGATGGTTAAATAAAGTTTGGCATTACCACACTGGTAATATTTCTATGAGGAGACTATTACTGTCCCTGCAAAGGAATGACTTTGACTACCTAACAGATTTTTTCCATGGTTAGCTAACATGATTCCATTTCTATGTAACTACTGTTTCATTAATTTTTCAAAATAAAAGAGCAACTGTATTGTTTCATTAGATTAAAAAACAGTTGTATGACATAGAAAACACGAGCCATTCACAACTACATACTGTTTAAAACAATGCCTTAAATGGCTTCTTGTTTAGTTGGACGATGAGCTCAGAATTACCATTTAGTTTCTTCAGCTCATTGGACATTTTGTCAACATTTTTAATCGCAACTTCAAGGTTAAACGGCTGATCAGCAGCAGCATTTTCGAACGCCTGTATGAAATAGAAACAAAACATAACTGGCAGTGTACATATGATTCATAAACTCAGTAATACAGCTAATCATAACCTTTATGAATTTTTTTTTCTAAAATAATATTTTATCTAAAACTTTCCCCCTCTTATAATTATCCACTTAGGTATGGCAAATTGCAACTACTGAAGACAACTACTAAACTCTCAAGCTTTATTTTTTTGTTTCCTGCTCCTTTTTTTCTTTTTTTTTTTACAAACAACTGCAATGAAATTAATCAGATCTAAAATTTCCTCCCCTCAATAGCATTTTTTTATTTTTTGTTTTCGACCTTACTTTTCCTATAGAATCTAAATGAAAATTAATAGTCACATGATATTTAGTCAACCACAAGATGGAGCTATTGTGACGTTAACATGTGTAAAAGACATTAGTGTCACTATTAGCATTGAATATTAATGAATCTGCTAATATCTGCCCAGGAACATTTGTGTCTGTATAGGTAATTATTTTATAATCAACATCTCTCTGCTTATTTTGGAGATCATATTCCCTCCCTTCAACATTTAACTCAAAAAAACAATCAAAATCTGGAGACAACTAAGACTAGAAACCGTCTGAAATTAAAAGAATTTTATTTTTAAAATTTATACTACACTCTTTTAGGATTTTTTTTTTTAGGAAAAATATTAAAGAAAATCACATGTATCATGTTTTCTGGCCTAGTTATCAGCTCTCTATCATTCAGAAATTCTAAAAATAAAATCTGGAAAAACTCCGGGTGATTCCTAAATAATGCTCACTCTGTAGAACACCTGAACACATTGAGAAGTACAACAAAAAAACTAAACATACATTTAACATAGATTCTTTGTCCAAGTCTCTCTTCCCTTCAGACAGTGGCTTTGCATTGAGGTCATCAGCCAGGGACAAAGATCCTAGAAGGACAAACCCCAAATTATTATGGAGTAATATCTATATATATAGATATATGTATGTATCTCATATCAAATATGTAATAACATTTGATAAATATAATTATTAGACCTTGTTTTCATTAGTGTTATTTGAAAGTAGAGTCTAAGGGGTTGAACAGTTTTATTTCTTCTTGAGGAAATAATCTTTTTTGTTTAAATCTTGAATTTTATTTATTTTACTTTCTTTTAGAAGCAGTGTTTCAGAAATTTTTTAGGAGTTAAACATGGAACTACTAATAGTGAATAAGCATATTTATAATAGTGATGAAGAATTCCTCAAACAAATTTCTGTTTTTTTTTTTAATTGAAAATTTTATAAAAGATCTAAAAAGGCATTGCAATCAGTTTCTATCATTGATTTATGGAAGGAGAATCTAAAGCGCACACACACACAAAGTCAAGTGTTGAACTGACTGACCAGTTACTGTCTTCTGGTCAGTAACAGAGCTGAGATTAAATACCAGATCCCTGGGCTCTTTCGTCCCCCATTCTGTCTGCTCTTCTTTCCTTGCACATTAGGACATCCTCAGGCAAGTTTAAGTGTATGATGTCACTGGAAAGCTGTTTCAACCCTGAAAAAAGAAAAAAAAAGGGGGGTTATTTCACCCTGGTACTGAATATGGTATATGGTTTAATTTCATACCGGTATATGAAATGAAAAAGACCCTGCTCTTAGCTAAAAGGGCAGACAAAAGAGCGTGCCCCTCTTTTACTCCCCCCCCCCCCCAAAATGGCCTGTAGTGAGAGCAAAGCCCTCTGTGGGGCTGGCGGGTGGGATCAGTGTGCTGCTCAGGATGAAGCACCTCCCCAGGAGGGCGCCAGCTCTGATGTCCACATGGGCCACCGTGAAGCGTGCGACAAGGGAGCCCCGCAAGGTTTGAGGATTTCCCGGTTACCAGAGGCTGTCCTGAACAGCGGTAGTGCAGAAGGGGTGCCTCACAGGAAGGCCCACGGACTGAAATACAGCGATGGCAGCTACCTCACAGATTGGTCAGGCCATGGTGACAGCACTCGCCTGCGCTTGAGGGGTGCTTCATGGGCAGGTACGCTTGCTAAGAGTCAGAACCATTGGCACCAACCCCCCGTGGCATGCAGGCCTATAAAGCCTCACCTCTCCCAGGGCGCGGGTGCCCAAGGCCCTACTTCCAGGTGTAGCCTGCAGGGATGGCCCATATGCTCTTGAAGGCTGGGGTGGTAGCACAGCCAGG